AAGAGTATTCAAGAATTTATTATTATTATTTTTTTTTATGATTCCTGTTATAGGCATTTATCATAATATTTACCAAGGAAATGTAATTTCTTTTTAGAATCATTGAAAATTTGTTTGGCAAAACATCTTATTGAAATATTTAAATAAGTATTTGTTAAGACTATGTTTTAATGAAACACAAAAATTTCACTACAATATCAAGGAACTATGTATCAAACAGAAAAGCACCCATCCACTCTGCCCTTCAATATCTAAAGACTCACATATATTTTAATGAATAATAATAACAATAATATTTGTAACACTTATTATTATAATAATTTAAAAGTTCATTTCCCAACATCTCTTTCATTTTCGCAACACAAACTAAGTACAAAAAAGTATGAATATCTGGACACTCTGTTTTTTTAATATTTACAGATTTATTATAATCCAACAAATAATAATAATAATATAGAATAATTACTTATTAAAATATTTATTTTAAACATTGCCATCGTCGTTTGCTTTGTCTCGCTGCACGATGATAAATATTATTTATATAAATATTGCACAGTTAATTGTATTAAATATTGCATTAATATAAATTTACCTTGTCGTGGTGTCGTAATTGTAATCGTCTAGATATTCTTCGTCACTCTCGTCATCGTCAGGTTGATCGCTAAGCACGTCCTCGGGATCAGCTTCAGAATCATCTTCGTCGTCTGCGTCAGCGTCCAGGCCATCATCGTCTTCAAGGTCATCTTCGTCTTCGTCGAGATCCTCCTCCATGCCCTTTGGAATCGGCAGGTCGATCGGTTTCTTGGGTTTCATATTTTCTGCAAAGTTACACAGTGAACGTTAATAATAATAATAATTTTTCATCGTTTTCAAGTTCTTTCAAGTGTCAATTCTAATCTCGATTGAATCAAGTTTCCGCCCGCGATTTTTTCGAAAATTATTTATTTAAATTTGAAAGCTATCTTTAAATATTATAATTTATTTTAATATTGCTTTTTTTAAAAATATATATATATATTATTTATTTTGATATTTCAGTCATGCAAAATTGTTTGCTTTTCTTGCTTAATTATCACACAAAAGATTAAAGATTATCCTTGAATTATTTTTTACTATCAAAGTAATCCTTTAAAATCGATCATATGCTAATTTTGTGATTATCCAGTGATTTAAAATAATTGAAACTAAAATTGAATTTCGATAGAATTTCAAGATAGTTTAAACTGATATTAAGAATTTATTTTAACAAGTTACAACACTGTCTAATGTTGCAAAGAATTTTATTTATATCTAAAAACGGTCAGAATATCTTTCTTTTTAAATATAAAATAAATCGTTAATGAAATGGAACTTCATTTATAGTAATTAATACTATAGTAGACACTTTGATGACATGAATGATAGATGATGATGCATGTAAGTACGTAAATAGAATAAAAAACTACTATAAAAATCGAGCTTTTATACGAAACTTACATAAACAATCACTCGAGTTCCTCCAAGCAAATCAAATTTAAATTCAATCATTCAAAATGGAACTTAAATGTGAGATTAAGTTATACAGACACTGAGTAAAATGTTTAAAAACTTCCATCTCGTGAAAACAAAGTATCATAGAGTCAACAGATCCACGATATCAAATACGAATAAAAGGGAAACCCTACGAATGTTCACCTATGATATATACGTCTTCTTTTAATTAGATGCGTTAATTC